CATTCCAAAGCATAAAGGATAAGAATAACAACATCAAAGCATAGATTAATATCTCAAAATATCACCATGATACAAAAGAGTTCAAAGGAAGTGCATCGAATCCTAAGATAATGAAGTTAGTCACTCATGTTGGCCATTTCAATGCTCCAATTGATGAAGAAGTGAAGAATTGATGAAGATTAGACAAAACCCTAACAGTAGTCGTGCCTCCTCTCCTCCAAGACTGCTTGCTTTTCTCAAAACAAAACTTATCTTTTTATAAGAGAATTTGGGTCGGGTCTCGCATCATTCATTCGCTTAAGCGCTCTTCTTTCTTTCAATTTTACTCTAATTATGCTAACAATTATGCTCCTTACTCTTATATAAAGGTATTCTCGAATTCATCCTATATTGGGAGAAAAATATATTAGAATTAACATAAGTTAAGTGGTTTCATAACAATTCAAGGCATAATTATATCAACTTTTTACCACTTACCAGTCTGAAACAAGCTTTGAGAGTCTAGAATACCATAGTCGATGGTTGTCTTTGACAATAAGGATTTTCGAAATGTGAAGTTGAATATGAGATTTAATTGAAGATTGAAGGTGATGATGTGTTAATTATATACTTATATATCAATAATTTGTTTATTACTGATAGTAAAATTACTGTGAACGATGATTTTGAAAGGAAGATGAAGGATCAATTTGAGAAGACCGATCTAGGGAAGTTGTCATATTTTCTAAGAATGAGATTTATTGAAAGCAGGAAAGATATTATGGTTGAATGTAATGTTGCTATCGGTTGAGACAAATTTGAAGTTTGACAAAGATGAGGTGGGAAGTCTGTAATTACAGTTTACCAACAAATGGTTGGTTGTCTAAGATACTTGTCTTGTAGTAGATCAGATATTTGTTTTGGCGTTGAGTTGTTGAGTAAATTTATGAAGAAATCTAAAGCATCTCATCTAGCAACAACTAAGATAGTTCTGAGGTATATAAGAGGAATAGTCGATTATGATATCCTATTACCTAATACTTCACATCAGAATGGAGAAGAGTTAGTTTAATATTCCGATTCTAACTGGATTAGTGATATCAAGCTACATATTCCTATTAGAAAAATCATAAATTTCATGATACTCGAAGTTACAACCTATTGTGATACACCCTTCTCACGAAGCCGAATAGATGTTTGGTGCTTACACAACATGTCAAATATTGTTGATCATGTATTTGGTAAATCGAGTTCTTAGGAGGCCAGAAAAAACAATAACATTAAAGATCAATGATGAATAAGCGAAAAATTCAATTTATAGTTAATTAAGATTTCAATTTATTGAAATAAGGAAAAATTTAATATGATAGCATCATTGCCTCAATAAATTACTGACCTGTCAGGTTGATTTGCTGCTATTGATACCATATGCCAAAAGTAATTAACACATGACAAGACATTAGAATTGAAACATACATACGACCCAAAAATTTTCATAAAACATGCCTAAGAGAAGTAACCAAATATTTTAGATCCATGATTAAACAAAATGTCCCCAAACAGTACTAGATCTTTATTATTGATATTTGAAGAGATTAAATAATATATTATAAATAAATATATAAAAAATAAAAGAATATAAAAAGATAAGAAGTCAAATTTATAAATATGTAAATATAATTATAAATATTAATAGAAGTTATATTAGAAATAATTATTAAATTTGAGGACCATTAATACATGAATATAAGTTAAAAAAAGTGATAACCCTTTTATTTTCCAACAAAAATCCATCAGTGCCACCAGGTCAATTAACAAATAACCATTGTTAATAATAACTTGAGGGGTTAGGAAAAACCTGGACATGTAGAGCTATTTCCATGACAAATATAATTTTTGAAATTATTAATATTAAAGTTCAATCAAATTATTTTGAGATTTTTTACTAGAATATTGATATCATAATACTGATTATTTTTATCTTTTAGTTCTTAACTATAAGATTATAATCCAGTATATATTTATGAGTATCATGTTTAAAAGTTTAAAATTAATGATAATTTATATAAATATTTAACCTACTAAAAAAATTAGTGATAAACTAAAACTTTAACACAATAACTCGTTCTGATATTTTTGTTGGAACACAAATTAATTAAAAAGTTTGAGCTAAATACATTTTTAGTATTTATATTTTATGTTTGGTTTTTATATTAAAAAAATTAGAATTAATCATTCAATTTATAAAAATATATTACTTACTATGTTTTTATACTTAAATTTAATATTTATTGATATTTTTTTCATTTAACATAATTATAATTAAGTATAATTTTAATTTTTGTTTATATCTAAATTAATATTTATTAATATTTTTATTGTTATGAAATTGAAAAAATTACTAGATATATATATATATATATATATATATATATATATATATATAATTTGTTAAATTTGAAGGCTGATTAATAATTTTATATATAGAGATTAAAATTTAATTTGTCAGAAAAATATAGAGATAAAAACATATTCAAAACATTTATATTTATAAAAAGAGTTTGATAAAAATTAATTATTGATAAGTTTTTAAATATTGCAATCATCCTACTTTTAGATGATATGCATTTAGCTCAGTCAATAAAATAAATTAGATTATGGTTAAGAAAAGTAACTAAATATATTGTTGAAAATAGAAAAAAAATTGAAAGTCAAAAAGCTAAAATCTAGTTAAAAATAATTATTAAGTTAACTTATTGAATCATAAAATTGTGATTAATATTTTATTAAAATAATTGAAAATGTAAAATAAAGATTTAATAATAATAATAATAATAATAATAATTATTATTATTATTATTATTATTATTATTATTATTATAGCCTAACAATACCAACTTTAAAAAATTTGTGTAAAACATAAAAAAAAAACAGCAATACATTTCTTTAATAAGAATGAGATTTGTACAATTTTTCAAATTTTAAAAGAAATTCAGGAATAATAAAATTTTAATAATAAAGAATTAGTTAACTAACATATTACATGCATTTTGTATCATTATGAATATTGTTATTTTGTGAGTGCTGAAAAATGTCATAAATGCTTATTGTCCCATGCGACCCAGCCCAAGAGCCCAGGCCCATATCTGGATTTGTGCGTATTTGCGGGATGGAACGAGACCTTCAATGCAACTAAACTTTGTTAGAGACTCAACCTTTGTCAGACTTTGTTGCACAAATCATATCACATGTTTGTTTCCTATTTAATAATTTTAAAAAAAATACACTGTATTAATTCAAATAAAATTATATGAAAAAACATTAAATTCAATACTACTATTTTTGTAATATATTTAAAATATTTTGAATTGAACTGTGTTAAGTAGGGTAGTCTATTTTCTCACAAGTTTTTTTTTTCTTTTTCAACACAAACTTAATTATTCCTATTTAAATAAAATAATCATATGAAAAACTTAAATGAGTATTCAATATGAAAAGAACTACTCAAACAAGAAGTCATTTAAGATTGAATACACTTACTTGTTTGATTGTTCCCAGGTGAGTGCTTGTTTACCAATATTTTATAATAAAGTACAAAAAAGTTTAACTTAAAAAAAAAAAAAAAAAACATCAACTACTTTGGTAAAAAACAAGAACAACATAAATAAAAACAATGTAGATAATATCCAGAAGAACATTTTTAATAATTAATGTTTATAAACCATTTATCTATAATAATGTACAGAAGATTTATGTAATTGAAAAAAATAAAAACAGTATAGTTTAAAGAAATATAGTTATTATGATTTATATATTTAAAAAATTATAAAAATATGAAAAAGGAAAAATATATTTAAAAATTTAACAGAAAAAATAAAACAAAATTTAAATTAATATTTAAAAAGTAATTATAAAAAAAATATGAAAATACATACTCTGTTTCCACTGATTTACTGTAATATGAATAGTTTATTTTGAATGGTAAGACTATAATAAAAAAAATGTTGAACTGAGTTTTGAAAGTGGTTGATGTAATAATTTGCATATATATCATGTTCAAGAATTGTTCATTTGAGATACAATTTATCACTAACAACTAATGAAAGGATATATGTTATTTTCTAATTTTATTTCAATAACTAATTAAATTTTTTCTTCTTGAGTTTTATTTTACACCATTCCAATTATTATATTTGCTCCCTAAAATCAAGACTGAAATTCATAACAATTATTTAATATTTTCTCTTTTTACTCAATTTTTTTTATAATATCTGAGAATTCACGAAACAATGAAGTAATTATTAGTTTTTTTATGTAAGATTTAAAATCATACACCATTGTATGATCACAATCTCATATGATCGAAAATTATTGTAGATATTTTCAACTACTAAGAGTATATTAGTGGTATATAGTTCTTTTTCAACATTTTTTTTAAGAATTGTACATAGTTCATGTAAATTTCAGTCCCTTTCGATAAAATTCACTTATTATTTTTAATAGATACATATTTTTATAATTATATACAAAAATTATCTAAGAATAATGATAATGTATTGAATATTGACCAAAAATAAATAAGAACCTAAACTTGAAATTGAAATGAAATTTTAAAACTTTTAAGAAAGAACAGAGGACTTGAATGAGAGAGTATTGAATGACAAATAGACAAACACAGGATTGAACACTATATTGTCAACCTGAGGAGAAGATTTTTAGTGTCTAAATTAATTATAAAACAAGCATATATAATAAAAGGTACAAAAACGATTATGAAACTCTTGATAAGAACAAGGTACATGAATCTTTGATATTTACAAAAAGAAATAAAAATAAAAAATTGACACAATTTGTCAAATTTGTAGTTGGTACCTCACCAAACATTTAGAATGTACAAGGCAGGCTTAATTTACAACATATTTTCACAATCAGGATATTGGTTTTCTCTTTCCAATGTAAAAAAGCTATATTGAATGTTGAAGTAAAGAATAAGACAGAAGAAAGAAGGTAGGGCATCAAAATCAAAATTCCTTTGAAGAACTCTGCCAGACCTCAACACATTGCTGATCCTTCCTGGTCAAGAACATGGTGCTTCCTCCAAAGGCCAAATTGGTAATCTTTGCCCCACCCATGTCCCTCATTCTACCCATCAAGTTCTTCTTGAAGATCCTCCCACTGTTCCCAGAACCCATGAGAACCTCAGACCACAATTCCACGTCACCACCCTTCGTGCAAAACACTTGATTCCCCTGCGTTTCGATCTTGCACCCAAACCCTTCCTTTTTCCCATTATTGTTCATTGCCTTTCTTTTATCCCCAAGACAAACCCACGCGCTCTCCTCGTTCAAATTCCTCAAGTCAACGTACGAGGCTTCACCCGAATTCACCCCAACCTTAAAAATAGCCGACAACCCATCACAAACCGCCACGTCAGCGAAACAATCCACCTTCTCCGAAATCTCCCAGACGACGCTGCCGGAACGAACATCCCACAAACGAATGTTGCCGGAAACGCCGGAGGGCCCACTGTGGGACCCAGAGGCCATCAACAAATTGCAACTCTCAATCCATTGCAACTTCGTCGCCGGAATTGCTGAATCGATGTCTGCACCGAAGATTTCGTTGTGACCGATCTCGGTGACGGGGGCTAGGGTGTGCAAATCGTAAACCATAATGGAATTGGAGTTTCGGCGCGACGATTCGAAGCTGACGAACATGTTTTCAGGGGAGGCTCCGATGGCTTGGACGGTGGACCCGGATTTGGTGACGTTTTCCCAGTTTAGGGTTTCCCTGACGCGGCCGCTACCAAGGTCCAGGATCTGGAGGCCGGAGAAGTCGTTGGCGCCGGCGGCCACGAGCGCCGGCGAGAGTGCGAGAAGGGAGTCGACGGCGGTGAAGTAGGTGAGGACGGTGGCCTTGCGGCGGAGGGACCAGTCGAAGGAGGTGATCTTGCTGCCGTGCGCGACGTGGAGGGCACCGCAGGTTGTGGCGGCGAGGGCGGAGGGAGAGTCACGGCCGTTGAGGGGCAAAAGGAGGGATTTTTGGAGGTTGAAGGGTTCCAATTGGGAAGGGCTGGAGAGGGAATTGATGAGGAGGGTCTCGATGCCGTAGAATTTTGACTCGATAATCAGGTCGTGGAGATCGAAAGCTTTGGCCTTTGAGGGAAGGTTTCCGGTGCGGAGGAGAGAGAGGAGGAGCGAGAACAGTTCTGGGTCTCTGTCTATGAACGGCGTGTAGATTCCAGAAGATTCCGCTATTCTCGAGAAGAAAGATTTCGGTCCCGCCGAGGTTAGTGTCTGTTTCGTGGTTTGGAACACTTGCCCTCCCACGTCGATGGAAACTATGTTGGAATCTGGCTTGGACAACCCAACTGGTTGAGAACCTGCAAAAGGTGGCATTTTATTTTATTTTTTTTGTGGTGTGAATAATGAAGAATGAAAGAGAGGAGAAAACGAGTTTGTGGTGTTATAGTAGTTGGGAAATGGAACGAGGTGTTTTTGGTGGATGGAGAGAAGTGGGGGGGTTTATATATTATGACTTGTGACATTAGATAAAGGATGGATTTTTGGTTTGCATTGTTAAACCACGAGTGTCGGATCTGGTGGGACTCTAGAAGGTGCAATGCACAAAAGTCTCGGGGTGCGTCAATTCAAACTTAGTCCACCCTTCTAGATTTTCATAATTGCATTGCATCATTGCCAACGTGTTTTTCTTTTTTTCTTTAAAGCAAAAATATTATATTATTGATTTATTATTGGCCACCCAAAATGGACCATTTGGATTGTGGGAAGTGACTAAAAAATAAAACCAACGTATTCAGACTAATACGGCGAGTATCTTTCTACATGGTGTTGTTGCACGTTTTTTTAACCCACAACGGCTGGGTCAAATTTGGTGCCCAAAAGATGGACAAGAAGAACTATAAAAGAGAGAGGCTGTTGAATGGAAGGATATGTTTGACTGTTTGACTTTTATAATTAATTATTAAATATCTTGTTTAAGGATTTTCTATGCAAGTAATTATAGTCAGCAAATCGAATGTTTACAAGTTTGTAAGGAGATTTAGTAAAATGTTAGGGAAACAAAAACTCAACCCTGTTTTCAATGGCTTGTCATTTATTGGTTAGTCATAGTTTAATTCTAGTGATGTGTGAAGAGAAATATAAAACTCATGTAACGTTACTCATGTTTCGACACGATTGGTCTGTTCTTGGTCAAGACATATTTTTGAATGTATATACAAATAAATTCAAAGGTTTATTGATACTTAGACTGAACAAGGAAAAGATGCATTTAATATAATGTTCAGTTTTTATACTTTGCTTCTGTAAATAAAAATGGTATGGATACTTTGCTCAGTCTAGGATTGACCATTTAAATATAAAATGTAAAGGCCATCTTAAAAGAAACATGTAATGGTGAAGTATGCAGAGCAGGACTTAAAAGATGGAAAGTTGTAGGAAAAAGGTAAATTTTGTCTGGACTGAGTTGTTTGTGTTGGGCTCTGAGAAAAGAGTTGTTTGTGTTGTTGGGCCTTTTACTGTCCCTCATGAAACATCATTTACAATTCAAATGAACCTAGAAAGGGAGTGTGTTTCATTTGGTTTTGTGTGCAATCACATCAAATTCTCTCTCTCTCTCTCTCTCTCTCTCTCTCTCTCTCTCTCTCTCTCTCTCTCATATATATATATATATATATATATATATATATATATATATATATATATATATATATATATATATATATATATATATATATATATATATATATATATATATATATATATATATATATATATATATATATATATATATGAGAATGATGTTATAAAAAAAATGTAAAGAGATATTTTTTTATTTAAATAATTGTTATATTTCATGAGATACAAATAATTTGAATTTTAGAGTATATTATATACATCAAATATAATTAATTTGTATACTCAAGTATAGAGATTACCATGTTATAATTTCAGTATACGAGGTTTTTACTTATTCATTTTATCGTTCTTATGCATTTTTATTTTTATGTAGTTTACTGAAAATAGTTTCAAAATTTTCATATAACTAGATTATTCCACCGATCTATTTTCCTCTACACTAATTTACATACTGATTATAAAATATAAGATTTACATTCTTCAATTATATACTATAATGTTGGCAAGTTATTAAATTCAACCATCATATAAATAAAATATAATTATTTATAGTTAAAATCCGTGCATATCAGGGGTTCATGACCTAGCATATATAGCAGAGTAATATAGAAATCTAACATGTTATATGAGGGAGTAGGATGAGTTTTGAAGGATGTACAAAGAAACATTCATAAAACTGTTTATTTGAGGAAACATGTCTTTTACTTTAGAGCGTGATAGACCAAATGAGAGAATCTGTCTCCCAATTTTTGTTTAGTTGGATAGCTTAATTCTGTATCGAACTACGCCGAATTTGAACACCCAGAAGATTTATGGTTCCCAAAGTGAAATCTAACAACACTTTTCAAGGTTCCAGTTAACGAGAAGATTGAATTCCCACGCACGAATTTGGACCAAGGTTCAGATTTGGTGTATTGTATCTATATAATCCAGACAATCATGATCTTTAGTCAACTATATTTTACATATATAATCATAGAGGGTACATATGCTAACAATGTACAGCTATTTCTAACACAAACTTGGGAAAAACTCCAACGCATATATCATGCAAACTACTAATTTTTTTAGGGGTAATTGAATTCAAAAAAGAACCCCATCACTGTGTTAGACTTCCAAATCTTAATTTACTATGATTCAATTTAGCATGTGTGCTGTTGGGTTCTGTCAAGCATCATGGCACAAAATTAAAAACCAATGCCAAATTCGTGAACAGGAAGAAGCCATTATGTGAGTCCTTGATTGTTAGCTGACACCAGGTTGAATCATTGGGAAAAAGGACCAATCCTCGGATGCCCCTCTCTCCTTCCCTGCAACTTTCTCATTAGCCCACCAGTCAGCAACTATATTGGGAGCAAGGGAATCTCCTCCTTCTGCATTATCGAAATTGAATTCTTTAGCAGAAGAAAGTGTTAAGGACTGATCCTTCTCATGAACTGTTGCATCATCTCCACTCAAATTGGTTTCCAGTGGTTGATCACTGTGAGTTTCAGCCAGGACTTGCTTCTCACTGCACCCGGTTTGTCCTAAATTTTCTTCTTTGTCGGCCGCTGTTGGTGCATCATTTTTCAATTTTGCCATGACCTTAGTCCATGCTGATGCTGCCGGCTTGTTTTCTAGAGATTCCAACACTTTCTGGGCAGATATTTCAAATGAAACTCTATGATTTATACTAATCTCATTGACTCGATTATTGCTCGGACGTGGGGACACTTTAATCTCAGAAACCCAATGATTTGAAAGAAAACCAGCTTGTGTTGTAGACCATGCAGCATCCGGGGTCAAAGAGCCGGAACCTTGGTTTGACTTCCTGTTTTGATAAGCAGACAGTTTATCTAAGTTGAGAAGCTTGGGAGGGTCTGCTCTCTGGAAATCAAGGATATGGGAGAGAGTGGCATTAAATTCGGAATCAGGGAGTGGCGATGAGGTGCCGGAAGCCGAGATGGCGGATCTTGGAGATATGAGTTGACCAACTGGACTTCCGGGGTGAAACTGATAGGATTGGAAGTCATAGTGAGATATTTGGAACCTCTGAAAGGTCTCACCATTCCTATTCTCAGGGTCAAGAAGCTGAGCAAAAGGGACCTCCGGTGAAGAAGGCGTGGTCAAGTGGACAGATTCAGGAGGTGGAGTGAAAGGAGCAGTGGATGAAGCTGAGAAAACAGGTGGTGATACTAATTGTGTTTCATGAGCAAAAGGGCCAATGGCAAAGATTGAGGCAGGACCACCAGGGGAGTACATGCTCGCAGACACACAAGTCTGAGAAATTTTACAAACTGGCGAGTGTGCAGTCGAGGGAGGTTCTGATTGAAAGAAAGATGCAGGAGATGATGGAGGAGCGGCGAAGGGGAGTGTTATGGTTGGTGCTTGTGTTGAACTAACAGCTGCAGCATGATCTGCTCCATTGGGGGCTGTTTCTGGAACAAGGACTGCATGTCCAATGCGCTTTCTGTTCCTTTGATATCCAAAACACCCAATTTTGCTCAACCAGCTTCCCCATCCTTTCTTCTGCAACCAAAAATAGCTGACTTTAGTATACATTACATCCAGAAGTAAAAGTAAGGAATCGATCAACTAATTGTCATGAATATTCTGGAAATTGATTCCATAAGTAAAAGAACAAGACATGTATAAGGATTTGGATGCAATCATAGACTTGCTTATTATTCCTAATTAGTTATGATATTCGTTATTCCAAATAGAAGACATCCATAATTAAAAACAAAACAAAACAAAAACTATTCCCAAATTATTAGTACTAACTCATCAAGAAAACGACTGATATCAACTAAAAGCAGAAACAGTGAGAAAAACTGATGAGTTCCAACTTCACACGCTATGATATTACCCAAGGCAAAGACCAAGCACAGGAAAATCCTAACATTGTCCAATTATTTTTTTTCTTCTTCACGAACTTACTATCTTTCGAAAACGAAAAGTAAGCTACTTTATTTGCTCGTGCACACGGGAGAAAAAAAGGAAACAAAAAGATCTCTTCTTTTCGCAAAAGAGATCAATCAATTATAAAATCAACTCGACCAAACAGCATCACGTTCAACACAGAACGGAACAGATAGCAAAACCCAAGAAGAAGAAGAACCCCAAAGAACCAAAAGGGTATAGGTCTAAAGAATCAAATGATCCAAACCAAAAGATAAATCAATTTTTTTTCCAAAAAAGTTGTGAAAACAACAAAAACACGGTTATACCTGGGTAGGAGGTTGGGAAACGCGGTTGTGGGAAGCAGAGGCTATGGCAAACGCAGCAGCGTTTATAGTGTCGAAAGTGTTGTTACCATCAGTCCCATTAGTTCCTCTCATGTCTGTGTCTGAGCGATGAGGAAAATGGTGCGGAGAAGAAGCGAAAACGGGTGAGAAAAGAGGGTGTTAGAAGCATAAAGAAGTGAAAAATATTAGGAACAGAGTTAAGGAGGTTGTGAAATGATGGTGGAGAATGAAGTGTGAGAATGAAACGTGAGTTTATGTGTGTTGTGTAAAGCGTGAGTTGCGTTGGCGTGTATTTGTGTCGTGTATGAGTACAACGCTGTTACGAGTTGAGGTCAAACACGGCAATGACTTGCTCCTCATGTGATTAACGAAGACCCAGTTCTATTTTTTTTTTTTTTTTTTATGCTTAATCTTGTTTTTACCCAAACTACCCCTCTTTACATTTTTTTTTTAATATTAAAACTACTTTTATTTCAAAACTATTATTAAAATTATCGTGTTAATTAATTTAATTACGTTTTATATTATTATTAATAAAAAAAATGGTGTTGTTGTCGGGAAGAGAGAGAAAAGAGTGGTTGTTTACGTTAGCGTGAGTGCACGTGTGCACACCCATTTTCTGGATGGCTTTTGGTTTCGTGCGCAGCACCATCCCACTCACACTGGTGGGCCCCACTTCCATCTATATCCCAACTCTTCCTCACTTTCTTCCACTTTTTACAAAGCTTTCAAATAACTTGCACGAATGTTCAATCTATATATTTTTATTTTATTTTATTTTATTTATTTATTTATTACTTATCTTTCATGAGATAATATTATCAATTCTTCTCCCTCAAATTGCTGCCCAAAACATCATTATGATCTTAACTCAAATCTTTTTATCCCTTTTTCTTCGTTAACCTTTTCTTTATCATCATTAACCTACTCTTTTAGTCTTTCTTTAATCCTCAAATTAGAAATATGGTGTCAAGTTTTCAAGTTTAATATAGTCATTAGAAAGGACAAAGTTATGTTTTCAAAGAACATAAATGGGTTTAATAATCTTATTCTCCCTTTTCTTTTTTGTTTTTGAAGTTTATACGGTTCTTAAGTTGAAGAAATAAAAAGTGATAATATAAAGAAACAAGTATTTGTCGCTTTACAAGTGTTAAAGTATATATAATATTTTAAAATGATTGAGACAACTAAGACAAACATTATTTTACCTGTCCTTCAGGAAATGCAAGAACAAAGCAATTTTTTGTGATGCAAAGTTGAGTTGTCTACGAGGTTGAAATTTGGCTGTGTGGTTGAACTAACGTGCTTGGAAAATACCAAGCATCAAACAACTCCCCCATTTTGGAACCTGGCCTAATTAAGGCACCAATTCTTTTAACCAAGAGGATAATAATTTCTAGAATTGTAGGCTTTTCAGCCCAGTGTAGTGTTGCCACGAGTCATGGACCCTGCTGACTTTTGTATATCCCAATTTTTCTTAATTTTCAACTTTCAGCTTATGGACAAGAAATAAAAAACCAGAAGAGAAACAAGGATGATCCATGAAGAATGAACGCATGATTTACCTAATAAACTGTGGAGAAGACAATGATGGTCTTAAATGGGTTAAAAACAAAACAGCACCTACCAGGCATGTCAATGTAATAATATGTGGAGTTGATAAGGTTCAGAAAAGTAGTTACATATAGCATCAGGAACGTGGTTCAGAAACAGTGGTTTCAGAACTAGGTTTGTGAGAAAAAGGCAAAGCTAGAACCTGTCATTGCTTTTGTTTTGGCTTCCCAAAAGTATTCCTAAGCTTTCTAATTATTGCCCCATGTCTACATGCACTTCACTTCATGCTCTACCTTTGACATGTTTTTTTGTTAAGTGTGCCACAGCATTAGTTACTCTATTATATATATATGACGATTATAAAAATGATATGTTAGCATGCAAAAGATGGTATGAATATCTCTGTGTTAAAAAATAAAGTATAATACTCAGTGAAATCAAATTCTTTAGCTGAAGGTTAAGTGTGACTTGAAATTTAGTTCCTTTAATTTCTTTTTCTAAAGAGTATTGTATAACTTGATAAAAAAATAATGGTTTGACTACTGAAGTAGAACTGAATCTAATTGATAACTATTTTTATTAATATAATAATACACTTTTTTATTATCACCCATTTATAAAAATGAGAATTTTTTTATGTTTAAATTTATATTTATATTCTCTATATAAATTTATAGCATTTGGCTCTAAAGAAATAGAAAACAGACTTGTTGTGAAGTTTTAAATTTAAAAAAAATTCAAATACGCAAAAATATTGTTATAATTAAGTATTTTTTATAGATCGCCATTTTTTTTACTTAAAATGATTATACAGTTTGCATTATCCAAAAAACTTCCATTTTTTCTTTTGTCTTTTTTGAAGAAAATAACAGTTAAAGGGTGAAATATCTTTTGCCCTATAATTTGATTGTAAGACTATAATTTTGATAGGAGGAAAATGGTGAAGAGCTATGTTGCGTAGGTAGTGATGTTGTGATGCTTTCATAATGTAGATGCGATTAAGCAAGTAATTAAGCAACTAAATCGTGATTTGCAGAAGAATTATTTTTACTCTCTTTCCTCCAAATTTCCTCAAGAGTCCTTTTGCTAGTTGTTGGTATGATATGAGGAAGAAAGGTTCAAAAGAGTGGGGTAGGAATAATAATAATAAAAGTCATAGATGGATTCTTTTCCCTTTTGCTTGTGCCCTAGGGCAACTGAAATAACAATTAAACTGAAGACTTTCTGAGGCTATAATTAATCTAGGTTTTGATGGCAATCTTGTTAGATAACTGGGGACACCTTTTTCATCATTGGACAGATAGTAGTAAGCATCACAAGTGATAATATCAAAATTATCATGGCATTGTGATTGTGCTACTTAATTTTCTTTATGACCCCACCCTTTTTGTTTGACTTATGCGAATGCAAACAAAGAGTTAGAAATATGATTTTCATACAATTACAAGCATAAATTTAGGTGCACAATGCATGTAAAACAAAACTTTAACATATCACACCCATTTGGTTAACTAACCAAAGTTTTCGTTGCTAATTTATGGCAACAACAATCTTCAACTTGTTCCACCAATTTAATAATACAATTAAGAAACCGAAAATATAGTCTCATAATTTCAATTACGCTTAAATATGATTAAAGGGTGGAAAAGAAGGTTCGGAAATTTAGGTTACGCGTTTATAAAAAGAAAAATGGAGAATATTAAAGATTCTTCTGTATAATTCATACAGAACAATATTCTTGAAAGATTCACACACAAAAAAAATCTTGAGAGAATTTTTTGAGTTAGGCTCATTAACTTTTTTGATAGTGTAAATTAGTTAATTTGATTAAATGGTGCTTTAGATTGAGTAAAATGAAAGACAAAATTTACCTACTAAATATTAGGTAAAGTGGATTTTTAAATAAATGAAAAAAAAGTTAATAAAATTATTTATTATGCATAACTCTAAATTTAATCAATTTAGAGGCGTCAATAAAACTCTCAAACATTGGATCCTGTGCAGACTTTAGGAAAGAAAGAAGAAACAGGATTTGTGGATAAATCAGCAAATTTGAGCACTACAGATCCGTTTTCTAATAAAAAATTCAACTTTTTTTCTTTTCTGCTTAAAATTCTAAAAATTTGTAAAAAAAAAATCAATTATTTGTCTCAATTTTGTTTAAAAAATATTTTTCTATTTTTTTAATTATAATAATAATATAAAATCTTATTTTTTACCATCTTTCTTTATATACATATTATTTAATTTTTATTTTTCTTCTTTTACTCTTTTAGATGCACTATGGATCAAAATATAGTGAAACCTCTCGCAAAAGTATAATAATATATTTAAGTTTTTCTATAAAGTTATTTTGAATCAGCGAATAATTACAATGGTTCGGGGTCGCAGGTAGGTGGGTTTGGGTGTGAAAAGACAGTTAAGTCCAGTAGGTCCTTCCAAATCAGCAATTATCCGTTTTGGCATGGGAATACCACTTGCTCCTTCACCTTCAATTATGTATCTATATATTTTGTAATATTGGATTTTTCTCTTTTTAAATTTAGGATATCTTTCGATTCATAATCAATACATCATATGAATGAAACACAAATATAGTATCCGTCCTCGTTACGAGTAAAGTTAGGAAAATTTAAGGTACACAGATACGTTAGATCAAATAAGTTTTTAGTAATATCTATCCATATGTAAATTGGTACTTTAAAAACAAAGTACTATTTCAATACCTAATAAATATACAGATTTAGTCCTGATACTAATTTTATTATTCTTGAATTAGTGTTGACATATAATTATTTCATTCAAATATTAGAGGTTGATACCTGATTCTTTTAAAATTAACATGATAACACATATTACATCAGAAGTAAGATAATAATAGTTAAGATTAAATTCAGTATTAATTATTTTTAAGATATATCAATTTTAAAGTTACCAAAAAATCATTTAACCCACACACAAATATTTATTCAGTTAAAAAAAATACAATATTTGAAAGTAAAAATATTACTAAAATGATTAATTTGTAAATACTGTTGTTGAAGAGTCTGAGTAACAATCTGAAGAGTAAAAAATTCGGTAGATGTATGTCATTGATCCTCGTCAAATTGTTTTAGTTTGTTCGTTAGCCACTATGACTTTTATTTAGCGAGAGTAGATGGAGATTTAGATGTAAAAAACCTAAACGATTATCTTTCTTACAAATGAGTCCATTTCAGATATCAGGATGGGCAAAATAATACTGCTATGTACACATTTTTTATAAAATGTTTTTTGTACAACATTGTATTCAAGGGAGTGGGCAATGCAATCGTTCTCTCTCCCCAGTTCACCCAGTTTTGAAATAAAGTAATATTTTCAGTTGCAATTCCAAATCCAAGTTAGAGATTAAATCATAAACTTAACCCAGGTAGCGAAGTATATGCAATTTAAACTAACTTTTATAACAAATTAATCTAATAATTATGATTATGATGTAGACCTACCTATCATTTTGGAGTTTCATTAAAATAAATAAATCAATTCAACAAAGATGTAGA